GGGAGAGGGAGGAGGGGAGGGTGGGGGAGGGGAAGGCCAGCGTGGACACCGTGCTCCCTCTTGCTGTGAAGGTGAACGGTAGCTGTCTCCCTCACTCAGCTCCCCAGCTCTGTGAGGAAAGGAGGCTGTTTGTGGACAGCGCTGGTGGCAGACAGGTGTGAAAGGTGTTACGGCAGCGTGTGTGGTGATTGAATGGGGGTGATGCAGCCGGTGGGTGGCTACCCCTCTCTGCATGGACTCCACGCCCAGCATCACGCCCGGCACTGCGTGGAGAGAGAGACAGACGCACTCATGAGGCCTGTGCCCGAGAAGCAGACATAACGCTGTCTTCCCACCTAGCTGATGGTCTACAGAGGCAGTGGCTGTTTCTTGCTATGATCGTACTACGGGATCCTCGAGAGGGAGAGGCCCTTCCCCTCCGCACTCACCCCTCCCTCTTCCTGGAACCCCCGCCCTCCCCTCCTGCCTCCTTCCCTTCCCCCCTCCCCACTCCCCACTGCTCAGGCCTCAGTGGGTCTCCTGGCCCCCACCCTACACTGACACCACTCTTGGGGCCAACCCACTCCCTCTCTGCAGAAGTGCCTCCAGCCTCAGCTCCTGTGTAACCCTCTGGGCTCCCCGGAGCTCTCCAGCCACCTGCCTTCCCAACTAGCACCCACCTACCTCCTGTGGCTGATGCCAGATGGGAGCCTCAAGCCCAGAAGCAAATCTGGGACCCTGAGCCCACTCATTCTAAGGAGAGAAGTGAGTGAGTGAGTGAGTGAGTGAGTAATGGGTAAGTGAATGGGTGAGTGAATTGGTCAGTGGTGGGTGAATGAGTGAATGAGTCAGTGAGTGGAGAGTGAGTGGGTGCATGAGAGAATGAGTGACTGAATGGCTGAATTAATGACTGAGTGAATGAGGTAGTGAGTGAATGAGTGAGGGAGCAGATAGCTGAGGGAATGAATGCATGAGGAGTGAATGAATGAGTGGATGGCTGAGAGTGAGTGAATGAATGAGTGAGTGGGTGACTGAGAATGAGTGCATGAGGAGTGAATGAATGAGTAGATGGCTGAATGAGTGAGTGGGTGACAGAATGAGTGCATGAGGAATGAATGAATGAGTGGATGGCTGAGGGAGTGAGTGCACGAGGAGTGAATGAGTGAGTGAGCTCAACCCTGACCGGTCAGCACTAGCATTGTGGTCACTCCTGAGTGGCCTCCTGGTGTTTCCCTGCAGGGTGACGTCCTGACCACCAAGTACCAGGTGGACCTCGGGGATGGTTTCAAAGCCATGTATGTGAACCTCACTCTGACTGGGGAGCCTGTCCGGCACCGCTACGAGAGCCCCGGCATCTACCGTGTGTCTGTCCGGGCAGAGAACACAGCGGGGCGGGATGAGGCAGTGCTGTTCGTCCAGGTTAACTGTAAGTCTGCCACCCTTGAAGGCTGAGCACCCTAGGACGAGAGGACCTGGTCCCTGGGAAAAGCGTAGGGAGTCCCTTAGGGATGCTGCAGCCCCAGAGACCTCCTAATGGCAAGCCCAGGAGCAGGAGTCGGGCCACCTGGGGCAGTAGGGTCAGTGATGATGATGGTGGTGTGATGAGGATGGTAGTGCTGTGATGGTGGCAGTGGTGGTGATGGTGGTGGTTCTATAGATGGTGGTGGTGGTGGTGGTGATGATGGTGGTGGTGGTGGTGGTGGTGTGATGAGGATGGTAGTGGTGTGATGGTGGCAGTGATGGTGGTGGTGGTGGTTCTATAGATGGTAGTGATGGTGGTGGCATGATGAGGATGGTAGTGGTGTGTTGGTGGCAGTGGTGGTGACGGTGGTGGTGTGATGAGGATGGTAGCGTGTGATGGTGGCAGTGGTGGTGGTGGTGGTGGTGATGATGGTGGTAGTGGTGGTGGTGTGATGGGGATGGTAGTGGTATGATGGTGGCAGTGGTGGTGGTGGTGGTGGTGGTGATGATGGTGGTGGTGGTGGTGGCATGATGAGGATGGCAGTGCTGTGATGGTGGCAGTGGTGATGATGGTGGTGGTGTGATGAGGATGGTAGTGTGTGATGGTGGCAGTGGTGGTGGTGGTGGTGGTGTGATGAGGATGGTAGCGTGTGATGGTGGCAATGCTTCCTCAGTGGTGATGGTGACAGTGGTGATGCTGGTGGAGGCATTGGTGCTAATGGTGATGGTGGTGGTGGTATAGGTAGTGATGGTGTTGATGGTGGCAGTGGTTTCCAGGTAGTGGGGGTAGTGGAGTTGATGTAGGAAATGGTAGTAGTGATGATGATGGTGGTGGTTGTGGGGATGGTGGTGGTGTCAGTGATGGTGGTGATGATGGTATGGTGGCAGTTGTGGTGATGGTGCTATAGTTGGTGGCGATGGTAGTACAGTTAATGGTGATGGCGGTGAAGGTGATGGTGGTAGTGGAGGTAGCAGTCATGGTGGTGGTGGAGGTGGTAGGTGATGGTGTGGTGGTGGTTGTCGTGATGGTGGGCTAGTTGGTGGTGATGATGGTGGGACTGATGGTGGAGGTGGTGGTGATGGTGGTGGAGGTCACAGATGATGGTGATGATGGTGGTGATGGTGGTGATGGTGGTGGAGTTGGTGATGATGGTGGAGTTGCTGGTGGAGTTGGTGATGGTGGGAATGGTGGTGATGGTTTTGATGATGATGGTGGTAGTAGTGAAGTTGGTGGGGACAGTGACCACTAAGCAGCCTCTGAATGCCCCGTGTCCTAATGCCCTCTGACCCCTGGCCTTTCTCTGAACCTTGCAGCCCCTCTGCAGGCCCTGTACCTAGAAGTGGTTCCTGTCATTGGCATCGACCAGGAGGTGAACCTCACGGCTGTGCTGCTGCCCCTGAACCCCAACCTCACTGTCTTCTACTGGTGGATTGGTCCCAGCCTGCAGGTGGGCTGGCCGCGGAGCCCTCACGGCCCTTCCTCCTGCGGTGCCTGTCCGGAGTGGAGGGTGTGAGCCCTCCGGGGGCACTGGGACAGGCTCATCCCACCCTCCTTCACTTGGCTCCTGCTTTGAGCATCTGGGGTCTCCTCTGTCCAAGTGCAGTGGACACAGAAGTGAATTGAGCTAGACCCCCTTTGCCTGGGGATCTGAGCCCGTGACTTAACCCCCATTAGGACAGGTGTCACAGGAGAGGTATGTGGGAGCTCCAGGAACAGGGAGGGGTTTCCAGTGGGGGTCAGGGAAGGCTTCCTGGAGGAGGCGTCATTGGGCTGGTCCAGGTCTCAGAGCTGTGCTCAGAGGCTTGTTCCTTGGGAGCAGTGGGAGCCATGGATAGTTCTTGAGCAGGGCAGCGCCTAACTCAGATCGGGCAGCTCTGAGGGCTTTGCAGGGTGGAGTTCCCCATTCTCAGGCTGCAGGGCCTCAAGACCCGGAGAGGCCTCCTCCCTGGCCCAGCAAGCCCCCAGGCGGGCCAGGCAGCAGCAGAGGGCCCGGGTGGGGCAGGGAAGGGCTGGACCCGGCTGTGGTTCCCCACAATGGGGAGGGCTGAGGAAGGGGCCTGGGCTCTGGGTTCAAGTCTCAGCTCAGCTACTTCCAGCTGAGCACTTCGGGGGCATCCCTTATGACGCAGCCCCTGCCTCCCCTCTGCTGGGATGCCTTCTTGTCTCCCAGGTGACATCGCCCTCCCATCAAAATGAGTGTCCTCACCCTCATGGGTGCCCAGCCTGAGCTGAGCACTGGGTACCAGGATGCAGGCCCCATGGTTCACACCTGTGGCCACAGGGGTGTGGAGGCCTCGGCCTGGCAGCCACGTCAAAAAAAAAATAGAACCAAACCCACTGCCGTGGAGTCGATTCCGACTCAGCGACACCCATTGGGTTTCTGAGGCAGTAAATCTTTACTGAAGTAGATTGCCCTTGTGCAGTGCGGCTGGTGGGTTTGAACCGCCAGCCTTCTGGTCAGCAGTCAGATGCCTCAGGCACTGTGCCACCAGAGCCCCTTGGTCCCACGGGGCAGAGGCTCGTGGTCACTGTCAGGGTGCGAGGGGCACCGGGAGACCTGCATCCACCTATGGCCGTAGAGCGAGCCCCATTTTAGCTTAGAACTGGACTGTCTTTGGGGTGTCCACCCCGCCCCGCCTGCCAGAGCCCTGACCCACCTGTGCCCTGCAGCCACTGCTGTCCCTGGAGAACTCGGTAACAACACGGTTTGCAGCTGCTGGGGACGTGCGGGTGACGGTGCAGGCTGCCTGTGGAAACTCAGTGCTGCAGGACTCCAGGGTGATCCGCGTGTTGGGTGAGTCGCGGGTGAGCGGCCGGTCAGTCACCCCGGGTGGGGGCTTGGGGGGTGGGGGCCCTGCGGGAGCATGTGGCGGGTCACCCCAGGTGAGTCCAGGGGCCGTGCTGCTGGTCACCCCAGGTGGGGGACCTGAGTGGGGGGCATGTGGCTGGTCACCATGGATAGGTCTGGGGGTTGTGCAGCCGTTCGCCCTAGGTGAGACCAGGGAGCGTGTGGCCAGTCACCCCTGGTGGGGAGCTGGGGGGTCATGCAGCTGGCACCCTGGGTAAGTCTGGGTCCAGCTTTTCACCCCAAGTGGGAGCCCTGCGGGGGGGGGTCGTGTGGCTGGCCACCCCGATGAGTCCTGGGGTCGTGTGGCCAGTCATCCCAGGTGCGGGCCCTGGGGGTCATACAGTCGGTCACCCCAGGTGAGTCCTGGGGCTTGTGTGGCAGGCCACCCCAGGTGGAGGCCGTGGAGGGTCATATAGCTGGTCACCCCATGTGAGTCCTGAGGCTCTTGTGGCTGGTCACCCCAGGTGAGGCCCTTGAGGGGTCATACACTCAGTCACCCCGTGTGAGTCTGAGGTCATGTGGCGACCACCCCAGGGGGTGCCCTGCATTGGGGAGCAGCCAGGTGGGCTCCCCACCCCCACCTGTCTGGCCCTGGAGTCTCCCAGCCCCTCTGGCCTCAGTTTCCCCTCTAGGGAACCAGCACTGTTGCCCCCGGGGTCACAGGGCTCCTCCCTCCCCTCACAGGCATCCACACAGCCTACAGGCCGCTCCCAGAGCGGAGCCGGGTGGGAGCCGGGCAGTGACCCCAAGGCCCTGGCCCTCTGGGCTCCGCTGTGGATTGTCCCTGAGGGCATCCTGTAGGAAGGGTCTTGTCACCAGGACTCTGCTGAGGGCCCTGCCCCCTTATTAGTGCTCACTGGGGGCTCTGAGCCCCCTTGAGAGACGCTTACGATGGACAAGGCTTGTGCGTGGGGAAGTGCCCGGCACACGGCTGCTGCAGCCTCACCCGTAACGGTTACGGGTTCGGTTAGAGTTAGGGTCCCGGTTCCGGTTCCGTTTGTTTCAGCAGCAGCCTCTGCTGCAGGCAGCAGCCCTCAGTTGAATCCTCGGTGGGCACCTGTGTGCAGAGGGGGGGGACTGGCTGCCCACACCGATCCTGGCTGACAGACCTCCCGTGGCCGCATCCTCATCCCCACGCCTGCCTGCACTGGGCTCGGGGCCTGGAGCCTGACCTAGTCCCTGTCTGGTCACAAAGCGCCTCCCTGGGGCCTCGCAGCCCACAGCCTCCTCCTCACATCACAGCGAGGAAAGGCTCAGGGAAAAGGCCGAGATGGAAATGTGGCCCCAAGGCTCTGGCTCAGGGGCTGCCCAGCACCCACTGCTTATGGGGCTAGGTGCCTGGGAGCCCAGGAAACGGGGAGAATGAGGCCAGGGCCTCTGCTGTCTCGGGGCTCTTAATCTGGTGGGGGGCCAGCCCGGGGACGTCGGGGGCGGGACGCTCATGGGTTACTGAAGCAGACCCCACAGAGCTGCAGCGGGCTCAGGGAGCGTGGTCATCATCCTTGTTGTCGTCGTCATTGTTGGGGTTATTATCACAGCCATTGCTCATGGCAGCAGAGAGGCAGGCCCCGCCTGGGACAACCCCCAGGCCGCCACGAACAGCGAAGGATCAAGGTTTCCCGACAAAGCCGGGGCCCCTCTGACTGTGTGAGGAGACTGCAGGGCGGTGGTCTGGGGCTCTGGAGTTGGGCGGCCGGGACCAGCCGCAGAGGCCACGGCCACCTGCCGGGCTGACCACGCTCCCGTCCCTGCCGCTTCCCAGACCAGTTCCAGGTCGTGCCACTGCAGTTCTCCAAGGACCTGGACGCCCACAATCCCAGCATCCCCGAGTGGAGGGAGGACGTCGGCCTGGGGGTCACCCGGCTCCTCTCCAAGGTGCTCCCTGCTCACTCCGGCCTCGAGTCTCACCCGGCCTGGGGGCGGCCTCGGTTTCAGGGAAGTGGGGCACCAGGGCCGCCAGGGCGGATGGGCAGATGTGCTGCCCCGAGTCTGATGTCGGGTGTCAGCCAGGCCCCTGGGCAGGGAGCTTGGAAGCCGGGAGTGGGGACAGGCAGCCGAGAAAACCTCAGAGCAGGCGCCACACCCTCCAGGACACTCACAGACAGGGCCACAGCCCTGTCCTCCAGGAGTCAGGAGTTTCCTTAAAGCCTTTCCACATTTCCTGAGAGAAGGAAGAGCCGCCACTGCTACTTTCAGGGAGAGGGCAGGGAGCAGGCCCGAGAAGGGCGGCAGTGTGGAGCCAGCCAGCCCCTAGAGACCCACCGAGGCCGCCCTCAGTAGGAAGCCACTCTGTCTCCCTCAGCCCGACTAGTATGGGCACCGTTTACTGGGCTTTGAAGGGTGAGTAGGAGTTTGCCAGGTGGGACTGCACTGGAGTAGGTTTCCAGGACTGAGAGGGATGAG